ACCCATCCGGGGACTTGAATGTAATTCGGTTTCCAAATTTTGACCCATATATCAATCAGAGCCCGTCTAATATAGTGCCTACCAAAGTATTTATGTGACCTGTATTTTTGATCCCATAGCATGGCATGCCATCCTATTTCTAAGTCATGGCCTTCTAAACATAGTATTCTCCTGTTTTTTAAGAGTACCCAATCTCGTAGAGAGGTCCCCAATCTTGATGAGATCCAAGATGTTAGATGAGAGGTCCCCAACCTTGGCAACTTTAAGACCTTGGACTTCAACTCCCAGAATTCCTCAGCCAGCCAAGCTGGCTGAGGAATTCTGGGAGTTGAAGTCCACAAGTCTTAAAGTTGCCAAGGTGTCAACGCTGCAAATACTGTATATTCTTGCTTTGACAATATGCAGAACTGTCTGATATTTTTATAGTTAAATCAGGCAACAGTGAAAGGGGAGGAGAATAAGGAAAGCCCGGGAAAAAGAAACCGGAAGTAAATCAGATCTTCCAAGTTAATTGGAAGATGTGAACCATGACCCCAAAATAGGGGCGGGAAAAATGCCTGGAATGTATGTGCAACGGAAAAGAATCTCAGATCTAAGCATTTCCACCATGCTGTACTGACATCTCTGTAATCTTAATAAATGCTTTTAGGAAAAATATGCCTGAAAGTCCTTTTAAGTGTTTCGTTAATCAGACACATGACACAAGGTAGGAGACCCCTGTGTTAGATGATCAACTGATTCTTGGAGAAATGTGATTGATGGCTATAAAATTGGTGGATGTCCTAAAAGGGCTCATCCAAAAGGCAACTGGACTTGTTTTTCTTTGAAGATGTTTCACTTCTCACCCAAGAGGTCTTTTTAGTTCTGGAGCTCTGCAGAACTGAAGAAGCTTCTTGGATGAGAAACAAAATGTCTTCAAGGAAGAACAAAGTCCAGTTGCCTTTTGAAAAAGGACTTTTTGGGACAACCATGACCTGGATGACTGAGAATCTCCATCGACAAGATTGGTGGGTCTTTGTTTATCATGGCGTATGATCCTTCATAATGCTGCTTCATATTATTTTTACGATAAAGGTCAATCTTCGCAACATTTGAAAGTGAGCAGACTGTGAAAGACATCCCAATTTATCGCTTTGTCATCCCTCCATCGGCTTTTGCATCACCTGCTACCAATCCTGATAATGTCTGCTTCTGCACCGATAGGACTATAAGTCAGAACTGTACATTAGGTGGAATTATGGATATCAGCTCCTGCAAAGCAGGTAACAGAGTTAAAACAGTGGACTCTTTTTTTGACCACTACTGTAGAATCATCTCCATCCTTCCATTCAGTTTCGCGAGTAGATACCTTACGATACCGCTTGCATATGGCCTTCATTTCCCTTTTTATTTTTACAGGTAGACCAGTCTACATCACATTACCCCATTTCCTGCATGCAAGTAAGGAATTTTTTCAGTATGTTGAGGGGCTGAAGCCAGATGTGGACGAACACAAGACCTTTCTGGATGTAGAACCGGTAAGTCACTGCCAATTAAATCCGTAGCCTCCTTTATGTTTGGGTTTGTTCACTAAAGTGAAACATTTTATCCTAGTTCATTCGGGCCACAGCCGGGATGTAGATTTTCAAGGGCCCATCAGCCTGCACTTCAAGGAGGGTCCTGGATTGTTATTTTGCTGCTTATTCTAAGCCCATTTAAAAAATGAAGCACACCAACTTTAAAAGCAAACATCAGCCTCAAAATCCAGTTTAAAATAATTGCAATCACATCCCTGAAACAAGTACGGTAGCTATGACTTCCTGGCTATTGAGAATCAACTTTCTCTAATGCTGGGGAATTTCCTCCAAATTCAGCATCTGGATGCATTTTTTTCCCCTCTATTTAATGCTGCTAATGTTTGAATATTCCCCACCACCACCACCACCATGCACAACGTTCGCTGTATTTATTTTGGTTTAGATCACCGGATTTACCTTGCATTTTGCCAAAAGGCTGCAGATTAATATATTGGTGAGACCGAATTTAAAAATCACGTAAGTCTCGACTGTTACTCTTTTCTATTGGGGAAAAGTGAACTGTTTGTTCTGCATGTACAGCAGTGGCCAAAGTTGTGGAAACCTTTTGGGGAAAGTGTACAGTAGAAATGCCCCCTTTGGTTTTAGTTTCCACCAATTTTTTCTTCTAGTTTCTTTATAACTGTAGCCTTGTTCACTTAATAATTCTATTTTACATCGCTTTCTGGACGACCAGTCAACTCTTTGCACCATGACTTTAATTTTATTATGTTTTACATGAAAGAACACAAAAAAAACCAACCCACTTGATAGCGATCACATAACACACTGACAAATGTCCTCCTCTCAGCTTTAATACACGGCATCGATCACTGAATCCTACTGTGATCTGATTGGCTCATGGCCAAAATAAGATGACACCCGATTGGTTCTCTAAACACTCATGCTCATTGGCTACAATCAGATGAAGGAAAGCTACCTGAGATCAACCTAAGCAAGTTGTGCTTCCTTTTTCTGGTTATTTGGCTATAACGTTTCATAGAATACAGTACAGATAATTGAACAAATTACAAATTTGTTGTATTACATTCTTGATTAAACTATCTTTCCATTGATATATAATTTTATGGTACTACTCCAAAAAAAAAGTGGTGTTATTAGCTATCAAACCTCAAAAATACACTTTCCCCAAAAGGTTTCCACAATTTTGGCCACTACTGTATGCTTATCGGGAGAACTGGTTTATGGGCAATAGCACCTTCGGGAAGGGGTCAAAATCTGCAAGATGGCAGGCATGACATTCTTACTGAAGTTCTGCCCCCTTTATGTGTGCAGGCTGTAGAGGTCAACTGTGGTCTTCAAGTCTCCTTGAAGCCTCTTCTGAAAAAAATCTGATAGGACAGATGGGACAACGATTTTGTGTAGATTTTAAAATCCATAATTTAAAAAAACACAAATCCATCAATCTCCTTTCTCTGAGACATTCCCGTCTACATTACAGATAAGGCCTTATCTACTTTGTTGACCTCTTCCATCCTTCCAAAATATATGTGCTTGGCCACAAAAAAAAAAAA